ATAAGTTTTCTCTCAATAAAATTAGATATATTCAGTCAATAATATATACTAGTATTAAATGTATAATAATGTATAAACATTTTAAAAACCATATGTTAGAAACCAGGGGCGATCGAAACGTTGGAACACCTCCTCTGAGTAAAGACTTCTGACGGTCTACTAAACTACTCTACAAACTGATATCCGACACTCCGAAGCTCTAAGGACAATTTTGTGTCTATGTGGGATCGGTCCACTGGAATATCCTATCGATATAAGTGGAATGATATAGTTTGGAGTTTCATCAAAACCCAGAAACTAAAATATTTTATTTTTGAATAATAGATAAATAAATGAATATAAAATTATTGAAAAAGTAGAATGTGTGGTGCTAAATAGCGTATGTGGCCCACTGTACGACGCCTGGATGTTCGGTGCCTTATTGAAATTCAAATAAACGCGTTGCAAGGCGTTCGAACGGCTGCGTTTTGATTGCGTTTTTTCGGCGATTGCGTCTGTGGCCGCCTATCGCAGTGGCGGCATCGGGAACGGCATCGCGCCTTAGGTGTAAAAATAAATGTTTAAAGTAACAACTTCTTAAGCGAGAATTATGGCCAGCTATGGGCTAAGACACTAAACGCCCGCGCCCTGCCACAGCCACAGCCACAGCCCCAGTCTCAGTCCCAGTGCCAGCCACAAAAGTCGAACTAAACGTCTACAAGTGCCATCAATCTGCGCATCCTTATGCGCCTGTTTCGGTTCTTGGGGATCAAAGGGTTAGAGTAAATAGGCGCTGGCCCTATAATTTGTACAAATTTCGCTGCTTGATTGATATGCAGCCTGAACCCTGGGCCATGTCCATGGCCAACACGGGTTGAGTGCTTGTTTATGGCCCAGCGCCGCCCAACGACAAAGTTGCTTAAAGTGCGCGCAAATCTATTAACCATAATGCTTAATTCATTATCAACTAAGCAGGCTGCCAGGCCGAGAAGAAAGGGGTAAGACGACGGCCGACGACCGACGACCGTCCACCGACGAAGTGCAGGAATAAAAAACGAAATAAGGAGAGCAGCTGCGGCCTATGTTTTGACCCCTTGTCATGCCCTGACAGCTCGCTTGTTGGCCCAACAAAGAAATTAAGCATGTATCTAAGGCACAATGCATTGTTTTCCTTTCATTTCATTTCACTTCATCTTAGAGCAGGCCTTGCCCCACAACATGCTGCCATCATGTTGAAGGTGAAAGTTCTTCCGGCGCTGCGCTGCGCTGTGCAGTGACATTTTCATTTCCCTGGCCTCTAATCCTTGCCTACTATTATGCGACAAGGTGCAGTAGCGTGTGCACCACATTAAATCCTCATATGTGCCAAGATAAACAAATAAATGTTTCACAGGCCAAACAATTGCATTGAGTTGTCAAGTGTCATCCTTGACATTGAAAGAATGGACCATATTGTTGCCTTTCCTTTTTACCACTTTCAATTGCAGCGGCCTGAGTCCACGGATCAGACAACGACTGTGTGGAGCACTCACTCACACTCATTCCCACACGATCTGCTCGCACACTCGTCCAAGGAGCAAACAGCTGAGACGCAGACAATGTGCGAAGGACCCATTGTTCCTTCGCTCTTTAATGTGTCAAAATATAGTTTGAGTTTTTGTAATGCAAAGTGATTTATTGTTGTGCCAGGGGCGTGGGAGCCGGCAGGCAAAGGCGCACGATCTCTGCTACGAAGGGGTTTTTGCCTTAAGCCTTAAGTAGGAACAATTTCCCTGTAACTATCACTATGTATTTTCAAAATCGGTACTTACTCGTCGTATATAGAAAAGGAGAGAACACAAGTCATCAATATCTGGGAACCAAGTTTTTTTTATTTATAGTCACATTTTGGTGAAAAGAAGTGCTTAATTATTTGCAATAAAGAGCCCTTCTTATTCACTTCAAGTATTTAATTTAATTGAATAAAATATAGTACATAGTATATATCTAATTTGATTCACTTTTCGTATTCCCACATCATCTTTTATACTTATACTAGAATGTCAAACTTCTCGGGTTAATTTTGTAAATTTTTGTTATATTAATTAGCCTTATAGTTAGGAGCAGCAAGTGTGTTGTTTCAATTTAGAATTGTGTTTACCATGCTGTACTATATTTACGATTGGTACACTACTTCTTTAGCTTCTTCTATAGAATACACAAACAAATTAAGATTATTGATTTTGGAAATTGCAGATAAATTGGATACGACTTCTGGAGTGCATTTAAAATGAAGGTTCATTGTTAGTTCTGTAACTTAATGCTAATTCGTGTTTAAAAATATTGAACATATCTAAAGGTATAAGGTTGGCTAGGCTGGCCAACAATTCTGTTGTTCAATCTGGAGAAAGACATATTACAAGTACAGCCAAATATTTAAATAATATATTAAAAATTAGGAGAGCCTACATAATAAGTTTCATGGAGATGGAGAGGCAGACTGACGGAAATTTCTAGATAGATTTTTCTCGCAGAATTTTCTTCAGAATATATATGCTTTAAGGGATCCCTCTGCCTGTTAAATGCTTTGCAGAAACCTTTTTACACTTCGGTTACAAAGTATACATAGTTGTATATGCCTAAAACTATACCAATGTATAGGATAGGTTGGATAGGTTTTAGTTAAGCCAAACATACATTTTAACACTTGTAATTTATTTGTTAATAAAGGCCAAGTTACCTTACTCTTGAGAGCAATTTAAAAACGCTTTTATAGTACTTATGTTTAAAAGCGATTACATTTTAAGCGCAATTCAATGACGAATATAATTTAATTTATTCAAAATGTATTCTGTTTGCTTAAAAATTTGTTGGAATTTACAAGAATTTCAAATGAAAGATCAAATACTGCAGTCGATTAATATTAATATTATTTTTCATTCCATCACTACTCATATATAAGTTTTGCAAATGTGGAGAGCCTGATATTTTGGCTTCAAAACTTTGCAACCGACTCAGCCTAGAGGCATAAAAAGATATTGATTTATCAATGGATACATACAAGTATGTATGTATGTGTATGTGTATGTTTATATGTATAGTAAGCATGTTTGTGTGGCCCCAAATATGATTTTGCCCGCCAATGGGCACTTCCGTTCGACAAATAGCCTCAAATAGGTATTCAAATGAATTGAAAGTGTTTGCACGGATCGCGATAAGGTTTCGTGTTTATTCTTCGGCTGTTTCGGTCTGTTTGTTACTCAGCTGCCTCAAAGTTCATGGCAAGCACGTCTCATGTTGACGCTATCGGATTCATTTATCTTAGTACTTTCCCCATGCCCCGCCCACGCGTATTTTCCTCTGCTCAATGTGTCTCGACCATTTTCCGAACACTTCCACAACTGCCTATTGTCTTACCTGTCGCGCTTTTGAACAATTTGAATTAGAGTTGAAAATTTGTATGTGGCACTGTTACGGGGGCACGGGCCACGGGGCTTTTCCTCTTTTGCTCTGGCTACCTGATGAAGCGCAGCTAAAATGGTTTATGATAGGCGCGTGTTTATGTGTCGGATGATTAGCCCGAGTCAAATAGACGAGGCAGCCAGGCGAAAGGGTTCGAGAGATATTGGACGCAGCTTGCGTTTCGTTTCGTTTCGTTTGATCCGATGCGCTGGCTAATCCGGGTCGCACACATATATACACACGCATATGGATAGCACGTCCACCTCTAGTCATATTTGAGATTAGTATTAACGGTTTATGATTGCGGCACATAAAAATTATTCACTACAATCTGCATTAGCGGCCATAAACAAGCTATGGGCCGATGCTGAGGCCGAGCTCTGCACATCCTGCTTCTTGTCCACCACATCGAGAGTATCGAGCTACCCATCCAGCTGCCCGCTTGCCTGCTTGCCTTGCTTACCAGAGAGACAGCCCGACAGCCCGACAGCCAGCCATCCAGGCAGGCAGCCAGCCAGCCAGCCTGATTCTTCATTGCCGCCTCTATGTGTTTTCCGCTGGCTAATTTGAAAACCAACTCATAACTCAACTCATCAGGCAGACCCAGACCGCGGCCGCGTTCGTGGTCGGTCTCTCGTTCGGCACAGTTCGTTTTGACCAAGTTGCTCGTTTGATGTGTTTTGAATATGCCAGGGAGCTGGAAGCGCTGCAGCCCGTGGTCGAAACCAAGACCGAGTCCAAGGCAGCGCGAGCGACGTAATCAATATTTATTTTCGTTTTGTGCATAATACATCATGTTGTAAGTGCAATTAATTTGCAAGCAGCAAATGCAAGGCAGAGTTTCAATTTTTTCTTTGCCATGTTGAGCAAGTTTCGTCATTAACATCATTAGCATCATCAGCATCGTCCTTCTTGTGGCTCGTTTGCCTACCCGCAGCTTTTTCCTTTGCCATCGCCAGTTACAGATTAGAGTGCCGGCAGTCAGCTTTATATGCTGGTTATGATTTTTACAGCATTGCGTCTTAATTATGCCGTTTAAATTATGACAACAACAACTCGGGCAGCGCACTTCTGCGACCAATTTATTTCACCCATAAAAACCAAACTGAAAATTGAAATAACTTTGGAGAGAAGAAAAAATCACTCGATCGTTTCTACTTTGCATTTTTATATTTATATTTAGAAATTCATTTAAACTATGCATTTTTAAATTAAATTTATTTTCTTTTATTACAAAAACTAATTAACATTTGCTTGATATTTTCAAAAAAAAAAAAACTTAATCATAAATAAAATAATAATAATAGAAAAAAAAATGTTCGTACTGGTTGTAGAAGGTACTTAAAGTTTAGTTTTAAAAAAAATGGCCTGGGCCTAGTCTAAAAAAATCAGCTAATGCTAAACAAAAATCTGAGGCTATATACAATTGAGGCACTTGGTTCTTAACTTTTTGTTGTTTTACTTTCCCTACCAGACAATTCACTAAACAACGTCGTCATCATCATGTCCTTTGCTTGACTAGAACGAAAAAGTTGCGCATTGCGCCTGCTCTCTCACCCCTTCTCTGCCAGCCATTCGCTCTACTGGGACTGCCACAGAGAGATATAGTCGAGTATTTCCTCATCGTCCGGTGTGCAGTCCTCCTCCTCCAGATTGAAGTGCTCGTAGGGCTCGAACTTCAGCTGTAAGTGCGCATCCAAAGGAGATTGTTGCGCATGCGCCTCGACCCCTGGGGCGGCTGGTGGGGACAGCTGCTGTGGTGCCGCCTCATAGGTGCCGGAATCGAAGGACATGCTGGAGTTGAACGAAGATGTCGGCGAATGGCAGCCCGCAGTTTCGAGGGTGGCGCCGACGGCGATGCTGTTCACCTGAGTGGGTGGCGAGTAAGCATTGAGGGAGATGGGCGTCAGTGGATGATTGGGAAATTGCTGCCGCGTCAGTTGCTGTTGCTGCTGGAGTGGTGTGGCGGCCAAGGTGCTGCTGTAATACAGAGGCAGGGGCATGGATGTGGTTGTGGCTGGTTGACTGCCAACGGTGGTGGCTGCACTGGTGCTGGTTGTGATGGTGTTGAAGGAGCTGGAACTGGCACTTAGGCTGCTACTGCTGCTGCTATTGTTGCTGATCAGATCATCGTCGTCGTCATCGTCGTCATCATCATGGCACAAGCTACTGATGGGCAGGGGCAGGGAGTTGTTGGCGCTGCCGCCATTGCTGCCACCATTCAGATCATCGACCAGATCCTGCAGTCGGCGTATGTACTCCACAGCAATGCGCAGCGTGTCCACTTTGGATATCTTTTTATGGGGTCCGCGTCCGCCGCCCTTGGTTAGGTCAGCAATGATGGACTGTGGAATGTGCTGGCGCAATCGTGCGAAACTATTGTTCACCTGCTTGACACGATTACGCTCACGGGCGTTGCGGCGCTGCACAGATTGCGACTGATCCACGCTGTAGGGTGCACCGCCTCCGTTGTTGCCACTGTGTACGGCAATGCCGCCACTGCTGCTGTTGTTGCTGCTGCTGCCGCTAGAGCTGCCACGGGGCGAGTACTTGCGCGTCTTAATGCCAATGCCACCCATCGCTGTCGTCAGAGCAGTTGTGGACTGACTCTGATCGTTGGGCATTGGGGCAGGCATAATGTGCTGATAGCGATACATTTTTGTGGCCCCACCAATTGTGGTAGGAAATAGATCGTTGCTGGCGTTGATGCTGATGCTGTTGCCCTTAGCGCTCGGATTTGTGTTGAACACGACACTCGACATTGTTTGCAACGGCAAACGTAACACAATTGTATTGCAAAAAAAAATTATAGTACTATAAATCTTTTATTTTGAATAACACGCAGACGAGTTGTTGTTGTTGTTGCTGTCGTCTTGGTAACTCAACAACTTTTGGGCGCACTCTAACAAAGGTCTTTCAAGAAATGTTGGACGTTCGTGCTACGCTACGCTTTGAACTTGATCGTTTGACACCTTGCACAAGAATGAGTCCCTTCGTCCTAAACCTTCATGTTTTGTACCTTTTCGCTTTGGCAACTTGCGCATGAGCAGAGGCGCGCGCGTTCGCTCTCTCGTGCCCTCTCTTTCGTTCGCTCTGTTGTGCTCTCTAGCGCTGGCTCAGTACCTGAACAACGCACTCGCACTCAGGTAAAAGCCGGCTGGGAGTGCAACCATAACAACAACAGGCGAGCCGGCAACTCGAACGAGAGCAGACAGCGACGCAGGGCTCACAGGCAGGCAGGCAGGCAGACAGGCAGACACGGGCAGTGCCAGCACTTATGTATGCGGAGAAGCCACAGGTAAGATATGAGCGCTCTCCCATACTCCCGCTCATTTTGTTCTCGCAATTCGCTCTCTGCCACTCGATATGATCGACGACTGCTTATCAGTGGACTCGAGCTCAAGATCGAGTATCCTACTCGCCTCTCGTAACTGTTCCCAGTGGCAGGCTTTGAGCCACTTGCTTAGGCTTTACACTCAATGTCTGTACGTGTATTCTGATTGAGCACGCTGGGGCTTTGTCTTTGTTGAGCAGGCAGGATCGGCTTACATACGAGCATTTCAGCTGTCCTGCGCATTTTCCAGAATGATTTTTATATGGCGGTGGCAGCGTCCAAACTTTGTCCGCCAACTTCAATGACTGGCACTGGCTGGCTGTTGGCACGCCAGAAATTTGATTTCCGTGTTAATTAACTTAGCAAAACCTTCTTGGCCCGACATTTCATGTGCAACTCACGCACGCCCCTATATTCATTAGCGCCAGTTTTGCAGTTGCTTGTTGTTGGTGTTGTTGCTGGGAGCAGCGCCCACAAGCGCAGTAGCAACAACATCACCAAGACGCTTTGGCATGCGCGAGCCCAACAGTTAGTTGTCGCAGTTGTTGCAGTTGTAGGTGCCGGCGACATCGGCACGGCACGGCACGAAGCGGCCTGGCCTACCTGTGTCCAGGACTGCGGTTCGCACTTATTAGCTATGCAGAACGAGACATCAAAAGGTGTTCGAACAATTTCACATATTCCTCTAATTAAACGATCAACAAGATCACAAGTTTTTCATCAACCCTACCCCTTGCGTGCCAAGCTTCAGCTTGGCGAACTCAACAACATTATGATCGATGAATATTAAGATATACGAGTAGTACCTGTAAAGAGTGTGAAGACCGGAACTAACGACCATACAACTAAGCTATCAAAAAATCTAATGAATAGTGATCAAGCAGTAATGATCAATAAGATTAAATACATTTTATTTTATTAGCTGGAAACTATGTTAAATGTAAGCTGTAAGGAAAATTGTAAAAGTATTATCTATTATAAAATTGTATGATCAGTTATAAGTGTGTTTTCCTTAGTTCGTACTTATTAGCTTTTCACATATTCCTCTAGTTAAACGATCAACAAGATCAGAAGTTCCTGTGAAGTTTGAAGACCGGAACTAGCGATCATAAGTTATCAAAAAGTTGAATGAATAGTGACCAAGGAGTAATGATTTTTTTTATTAAATGGAAACTATGTTAAATGTCACCTGGAAAATTGTAAAAATCTTATCAATTATAAAATTGTATGATCAGTTATACTTGTAAGTGTACTTAATAGCTATTCACATATTCCTCTAGTTAAACGATCTACAAGATCAGTAGTCCCTGTACATAGTGCGAAGACCGGAACTAACGAGCATATGTTATCAAAATATGAATGATCAATTGACCAATTCACATGTGATCAATAAGATTTCATTTAATTTAAGATACAATTTAATAATTGTCCAACATAGGACAGATCTTAAATAAAGATGAAAGATTCAAAACAGAACAAATAAGATTTGATAAGTGTTATTTTTTTAGATGGAAGCTATGTTAAATGCAATCCGGCAAATTGTAAAGATCTTACTAATTCCAAAACGGTATGATCTGCGATCACTGCCACCAGTTATGAAAGTGTTTTCCTTAGTTGGACGAAAGTGTGCCTGAGCTGCTGCTAGAATCAGTTTCAGTGGAGAATCAAGATACAAGCAGCATCTCTGCTGATCTCAACTTGATCAGCAATATGCATGGGAGCTGCAACATTATGATCAACTGCTGATGTGCAGCCATATCGGATGATCTCGTCACTTCCTAATGATCATTAGTGTACGCAAAATCCGCAACTTCCGTACGTTTTGACAAAACTCAGTCAGCCACCGGTGTCCTCTGCTTAATATTTGCACTCCATCCACGCTCTTTCCCGACGATCAATCGATGCTGGCCAGGTGTAAGTTGTAAGTCGCCGTCGCCGTCGTCGTTCAGCACGTTGTTGTTTTCATTGTTTCCACTTTTCAACTCGTTCCCTTTGTTGTTGGCCTGCATTTTCATGGCAGTGGCAGAGTGGCAGAGTGGCAGCAGCCACATATGTATATTTCATTGTGTGTCTGTATGTGTGTGGGTAAATTTTTTTGGTTTTTTTGCTGAAACATCATCGATCGGTTTTGGCTTTGGCTTCCACGGCTCGCTGGCCGTGTCAATTTACGCCGCATTTTCCAACTGCCTTTGACTCTTTCTCCTCGTTTCGATATGTCGCTATGTCAAGCATGACCAGCGGCGCTCCTCTCTGTACTTTGCATCCTTTCACATTCCTCTTTATTCCCATCTCCCATTTTATTTACATTTTTTTTTTTTTTTTGGCATTCTGCATTTTTGCATTTGTCTATTTTATGCATTGTAATGACATTCCATAGCGGTTGCTTGGACTTAGACTCCATTATTTTGGCATCATTAACACGTCCTTTGTTCCCATATATGGCTACGCAGTTTTGGAGATTTGTGCTACCGGCAACCGCTACTGATGCGGCATATCCTTGTGCCTTGCTTGCTATTCAAATTATTGTCATTGTCCTCCGACATTTGATAAATGAAATTTCGATTCTTTGGGGTTAATTCCGATGTGCAAAAATGCTGAAATGCCGAAATAGATGGGTTGAAGTGCATCCTGCGGCTTGTGTGACTGATGTGTTGACGTGCATTGTTGTTGTCGTAAATGCGGCTGCATTTTGTAGTTACAGCTGCACTGAAGAATTTATTATTGTGCAATCTGATACATAGAAATAAAATTAAATTCCATCTTAAATTGAGTAAGGAGTCCAAGTTCCATTGCCCATAAACTATTTACGAAATATTCAATTTCTAATTAAATACCAAGCACTACATTTTTATGACTGGGCTACATTTTTTGTACGATTGGTGTGGTTTCTACTTGTTTTGGCCAAACTTCGCATATAGAATATATACTCTCTCTAAGGACTTCTTCTATAGTACAATGTTTGGCAGCCAAAAATCCACTAGCTTTTTATGTGGAACATTTTAAGACGTATGTAATTGATTGAATCATTGAGATCATCATAATTTTTGAAAGGTCTATAGCTCCTTCAGCAATTTTCGCGGCAAGAAACAATCCTTCATTTATATTCCTAAGCAAGCAATAGCTTACATTATTTTAATCGGAAAACTATGTTAACTTTATGTGATAATTTCTACGATAAGAGTGTGGAAAAAAAATGCTGAAATAACCATAAAAGTAAAATAATATTTCTTACCAGCAAACTTTTTGTTGTTTGTAAAGTATGGATGTATTTTTATTAAGCTGCGGAACTATTAGCAATGCTTAAAATATTTCCTCTGATGTGGATTCGACTCAAGCTTATCGGCGAATTGCTCTAACAGTTGTTAGATTTTTGCAAAACTCGAGAACTATCTTTTTTCTTGTTTTATATACATACGTACACATTTTTGCAATACCTGTACATACACAATATTTATTTTTACATAACTAGCTCGCTGCCATCAATGGAGTGCCAAGTTCGTATTTGTAACATACAATGCCGGATCAGATATTGGAAATTCTTTCATTAATATAACTTGCGATCGTACTTTGTGGTCAAAACGTTACTATATATTAAAACAGGGACAAATCAACGATTAGGCCGCGCAAACGCACAACTGGTCTTTGCATTTCTTGCTCTCACAATTTAAAGCATTTCTAAATTAAAGATCATATACTTGTATGTAAGTAGTTTCTGTTTTCACAGCGAAATTAGCACGCTTTTCAAAATTGTATTTTTGAGCAAAAAATATTCGATTCTAGTTGGTTTTCTAAAAAGTTGGAATTAGGACTGGAACTTCAATATTCAAGCATTTGCCTAAATTGAAGTTCGGTTTAGTTGTTTCTAGGAAATGTACATATCAAAGTATTTTGATATTGCCTGGAATCGACTAAATTACATAGTAAATTAGATGATGGAAATTTCATTTCTGTTACAATTCCTGTGATAGGATTCTCCTGCTGCTTTGAGGTGGGGAGCTACTCGATCGTAGTTGCCCCGACAACGGGCAACAAACATGTTGCTACAATATCCTTAAACAACAGCAAACACATCAACGACAACAACATTAAACCTCAATGCAACGCCTGGAAGATTTAAATGCATAATTATTTTGATATGAAGCATAGTTCCGGAGCAGGACTGGTCCGAGCGACCTGTACGGGTGCGTGCGTTAATTGCGTGCTGGCACGATGGAGGGCGGCGGAGCGAGGGAGATGGAGTTGCTGCAGGACAGGCATATCCTGTGCTCTTGTTTTACCTACGTTGCTGTCTTTTCTTTTTTTTTTTGTTTAATTTCGTTTCGAAACTTGTTCAAAACTGGGAAACTGAAATGCAAAAATTAATGTTAATTGAAACAAGTTTCCGTAAGGACCTGTACGCGTGCCCGTATGTGTATATATATGTATGTA